TTTAAAAGCATGTGTACAGTATTTTAAGAACATATAACTAAATCTAAATATAACATCATTTTCCTCTGCAGCTTATAATTTGGACATACATGACTTCCATATCTATATATCAACATAGCTGCACACCCAAAAAGTACGATAATATTCAATGAAAATATATACAATACAGAATAAATAATATTCGTGCAAACAATGAGTTAAATGTGCACCTTCTCACTTACAACCTTTACATTACTATCTTGCATTAAGAAATTTTATCTCAAAAAACTTTTGTTCCTAGACTTCACACCTGCTATAAATAAATTGTATAACTGCTACATTTTACCTAGTAGCTAATTTCTAAATAACATGAGCTTTTTTCTTTAAACATGTGAGTATAAACAGAATTCCTATCCCTGTAATATCTTACTGAAATGTGTGAACGAGAAAATATATCTTTTACCTGATACTACACTACTCAACATTCCAGTGAACATTTGGACTGGTCTCACAATACACAGAAGACAGAAACCCATCGCCATTTGTGAAATAAATCTCGGGTAAGTCTAAACAAAAAGGTTAAATAAATGCAAGATACATCTAAAGGACTATTTCCCTACAGTCAAGTACTCTGAATGAGGAATTTCTGAATAAATATGAAAGAATACATGAATCTTACACAATTTGCATTTTGCTTTCATTAGATCACTAATATTTCTACATGTGTGACTACTTACTGCAGACAAAAAAGATCAAAGTTGATCATACTGTTGTGGGATGAACTTAACAAAGTGTGATTTGGCTCATGACAGTGTTAGACCCAATCTATACCTCTAATCTTGTAATTCTAAACCTGCAATAATATACATAAATATATTTAAAATCATAAGCCCTGGGTTTACATTTCCTCACAAATGCAACTTTCTAATGGTAGTCTCACGGCCGACTAGCCAACCATTGCTACATAATACTGTTACCTATAAATTCTTACAAGAAATAAAACAGTAATATTTCATTATCATTTATTATAATTTAGCAAATAGTTTTTGAGGAAATAATGACTGCATAATGAAGAAATGTGCAATGAAAAAAATATATATATTACATTACTATTGCAATCACTATCAAGTATCAAGTGATACTACTATTATTATCATTATTAATCTTTTCTTACTATAATAATGAAATCATCAATATAGTTTAAACCCAGTATAATTATAATAATAAAAAATAAGATAACAATAATGATAATAATAATAATAACCACATCCCATAACTTTATCACAATAATATAAAAAAAAAAATGGTATCTCAGATCTAAGCTTTTCAATCGGGAGGATTTAAACACTTGGGAAGGAAATGAATCATAATTTCCCTTTTGCATCTAGGAATGTCATGGGGAGAAGGGATATAAATAAAATAATAGGTGAACCAGAATCCAACATATTTGTAATGGTAGCACATCCACCTAAAGGCACATCTGTCTGTACACTGTGCTTCAGTCTTTCATAGTGCACTTTTTTCCTTTTAAAAGCATCAATAGAAAGCCTTTGCATCTGGACTATGTTGTATTGACACACAGGTGAAACATCCAGGAACTTGAGAGACATATAAAATTGCAGGCCTCAAGAAGACAGAAGAACTCTGAGTCTTTCAGACCCACATTTTGGGAAGAAACAGAAGCCTTCACTTCATGTCTTTGCACAAGAAAGTGGTGAATGAACAGGACATATATATTAATTCATCAAAATAGCTAGACCATCTTCTCTATCTACTTTATGTATAACAGTACAAAAGCACAAAGTACCATCTCTTTCCAGATGGGATATATAAGCCTGTCTCTATTCTTTGAACTTTATATTTGTGTCATATGCTAAGCAGTGACAGCTAAGAAGAGTTTGGTCCCAGTGCCATGAGCTTTACAGTGACATGCGCATAACACTGGGAATACAAGGAAAAAATCCCTCTAGTTTCTCTGTAGCTTCACTCACTCAATCAATCACACACACACTCTCTCTCTTTCTCTCTCTGTTCCAGCTTTCTCCCTGTGTAACATATGTACAGAAATATGCAAGGCAAATTCAGATTTATGTATATATATTCTAAACCATTTGCCTATCTCTTTACAACTTAGAAAATACCATTTTTAAGTAAAGCAAAGGCATGGAACTTTATGGTATACATCCTGAATAAGAAAAAAATCCAAATAGTACTGTGAACAAACGTGCCTTTAAGATATATACTAATTACTTTACATGATAATTACTACGTATTTATATACTTTATGTATGTATATACGTTTGTATACAAGTGTTTATGTATTTATGTATGTTTATGCTGAAATGACCATGTATCCATACATGAATTTATGTATGCATGTATCCTCATATATATATTTTTTCTTTCTTAAGTTAGGGATAAAGCTATCTTAAAAAAAAATCTGAATAGCATCTGCTGGATTTTGTTCAACAGGACAGTAGGGGCACTTCAACCTGGAAAATAAATAGGTAAATCAGTAAGAATAACATTTGTACATAAATACATATATCCATTTATCATTTAAGGATTATTTAACAGAAGAACATCAATAAATGAAATGCAAGTCGTGTTCACTTAACATATCAAATCATACTATCTAGAACTTTCTATAAAGACATTCAGGTTAACTAAGCATACATAAGATAAGAAATATAACAGGAAATAGTAACTTCTTCAAGAATAAGGCTAAAAAATCTTACTTTGAACTGGTTGTAAGCTTATTCAGGGCATCCCGTGAGATCACATGACCACATATCAATCTCATGGGAGGATTAGTTTCTGTTGATTGCTGACGTAGAATAGGGCATGCAAATATTGAATGATAACGAGATGATGGGCCAAGATCAATCTCAATCTGAAATGAAAATAAATGTATTACCAAGTGAAAAATCTACCCAGGACCATAAGCCTGTGGACATGCATCGATACTAACGCAGGTGTACATAACACATTTTTTCATATCTTTACATATCTTGTTCATACCTCAACCCAATAATCACAGTATTATAAACCAGGGAGCAATCCATTTTGTTGGGTTTTTGCCGCACACTAGATGTTTCCCTATCAGTGTCCAGCTCCTTCTGAATTTCAAGCACAACTTTAACCCAATGCCACCGGGGAAAATGAACAAAAAATGGGGAAAATGCTGTGCCTATTTTCTATATTTTTTGTGAAATGTCTGCCCATAGGGTCTGCTGGTGCTTAGTCACAAAGGAGTCAATTAGTAGACCTTGTGACCTTACGTGATTTGAAATGGCAGGAAAAACGTATTTTTTACTAGTGCTATGAATATCAATGGTGTTATTTTTATCATAAACATTATAATTATTATAATGTTTTTAACATTAGTAACAGCAAAATAAGATAACATAAAATATTTTCATAAATCAAAGAAAAGGGTAAACGGGCGAGATAGGCAGTACTCGTAACTGGCTCATTGGTGATTTAGTACAAGTGTATCCATATATGTGTAAAAACAATCAAACAAGTACTCACAATGGGTATAGCACGTACGTACATGTCATGCCCGTCGGCAGTGGGTTAAACACCTAATCATTTGTAGCTGTTTATGTGCAAATGTTTGAAAAGACTCAAAGGTTCCCTCCATTTTAAATGCCTAAATCTAAAAATGACACTAACAAATGTGTCCCTAGAATCTCTGAAAGATGAGCTTCTGCCGATGAGTTGCTGGCACAGGGTATGTCCTTATGAAATGCCATCCACAACTCAGTCAGGCCATCCCGGTTTAATAAATCAACCTATTCCTGCAGGATAGTACGTATTCTTGCCAAGGTGCACTATCCCCATATGCCAGGTGGCAAGAATTATGCCACACATTATCTAAGTTATGTGTACTACATTATGGTTTGCTTGTTTGGCACAGTCAACTGAAAAGGAATATAAACTACACTTTCAGTCTATCATAACATTGATAAGGCTCATCAAGTAGCTTATATTAGCCTTGCAACTTGTGTATGATAAATTAATATAAATGAATAAATAAATAAATTCCATGCTTTTGTAAATACTTGAACTTGTACTTCAATGCAAATGTACGAATCCTTGTCTATCTATGTATTTATAAATACATATTTACATATTTCATAGACAGGCAGATAGACAATTAGATGAATAAATGATATAGATAATTGGATTTATTTATATTGTGATAGATAAAGATTTAAACATATAGATAAATACATATTCTGTAAATAAAAACAGAAAGACATACAGATATGGACACAAACCCACACCCACAGACAGACAGACAGACACACAGACACACAGACAGACAGACACACACACACACACACACACACACACACACACACACACACACACACACACACACACACACACACACACACACACACACACACAATTTTTTTTTTATTAAGCCTAACCACCACTTGAATACTCACTGGGAGTTCCTCTTTGCTATTCCACATGTTGTGTACTTGTCTCTGCTGCATGACCTGCTTGATATTAAGCAGAACTGGCAGAGCTGTACACCCTGCATTTACACTGTGAATAAAGAGTAGAAATAGAATCGCACATATAGTAACTTACATGGGAAGCTTCTTGCTAGGAATATTATTAGACCGAGTGTGTGAAGGGAGGGCAGGAGTGTGGAAGGGTGTGGATATGTGTGTTTGTGTTTATTTGTTTTACGCTTTGAGTGTATGCAAGAGTGAGTGAGTGAGTGTGTGTCTGTGTGTGTGTATGTATGCTTGAGTGGGCATATTTGTAAATGTGTCTGTCCTTGTGTGTGGGGGGAGGGGGGAGTGAGAGAGCCAGAAGGGGGGGAGGAGAGAGAGAGAGAGAGAGAGAGAGAGAGAGAGAGAGAGAGAGAGAGAGAGAGAGAGAGAGAGAGAGAGAGAGAGAGAGAGAGAGAGAGAGAGAGAGAGAGACAGAGAGACAGAGAGACAGAGAGACAGAGAGACAGAGAGACAGAGAGACAGAGAGACAGAGAGACAGAGAGACAGAGAGACAGAGAGACAGAGGGGGGAGGGAGAGGGAGAGGGAGAGGGAGAGGGAGAGGGAGAGGGAGAGGGAGAGGGAGAGGGAGAGGGAGAGGGAGAGGGAGAGGGAGGGGGAGGGGGAGGGAGAGGGAGGGAGAGGGAGAGAGTGAGAGAGAGTGAGAGAGAGTGAGAGAGAGTGAGAGAGAGTGAGAGAGAGTATGAGAGAGAGTATGAGAGAGAGTATGAGAGAGAGTATGAGAGAGAGTATGAGAGAGAGTATGAGAGAGAGTATGAGAGAGAGTATGAGAGAGAGAGAGAGAGAGAGAGAGAGAGAGAGAGAGAGAGAGAGAGAGAGAGAGAGAGAGAGAGAGAGAGAAGAGAAAGAGAAAGAGAAGAGAAGAGAAGAGAAGAGAGAGAGGGAGAGACAGACAGACAGACAGACAGACCTGTGGGTATGCAACATCTGTATACTGTCATGACTAAACTTCAGGTACTGTAAACTGCAGAATTGAATTTTTATGGATTCAAAATACTCCTATTTCTCACAAAGTACACTGATCTTGTACTACAACAAGAACTTTCAAACCGAAAAACACTTACCACACAGCCAAAGAGCTATCTACCGAGAGACCAAGTAAGGAACAGGCATCTCTTGTGAACACATCACAGATTTCTGACCACTGTTGTGCACTTAGGAGATCTGCATACGGAGAGTTTATCAAGCCCCCTTTGACATACAGCAGACATCCCATAAGGCTCTGGATCACTGGAAGAATGACGGAGGGATTGAAAATGTAGGAATGGTTCAGATTTTAATTAGAAAATATTTTCCAATGGGGATAAACATGAATCTCGCTGGTAAAATGGTATGATAAATATCTGTTAACAAGCAAGATCACAATACTTGTATATGTTTTGCTGCTGAATATTTAAACATAAAATCTGAAAATTTGTTCAACAATGTGTAAAACTTGAACATCTTTCCTATACCTTTCCTAGAGGGTGCCCAGAAAGAAATTCAAAATAATCTGAACTTATTCATTCTAGGAAATGTAAGAATCATATTCAAAGAAAAATTCTTTAAAATAATGATTTTGGAGAGAAAGAAAACTACTTTTTCATTTACTGGGAAAAATAATAATCCATTATCAATCAAAACTATTCTGAATAAAGTGTATGTGATTTATATTACTGTATCATATAAAGGCATGGAAATGTATGAAAATTCATTGCTTTCTGAGTTGGTATGAAAAGGATAGGTATATATGTGATGCACCTTTCCTCATCTTCTAAGGCACACTTTGCAAAGACATAACATGTGATGTGTTAAAGCTAAGACAGTTTCCTGGATTATTATTTTTTTGCCAAAAGAAATGTCACTTTCCAAGTAGACATTCCCTTTAACAGCTTAGATGAGAATAACCATGATTTCAATACATAAATATTTGTTAGACGTGTATATGCTTGGAAATACTGCATACCACTACAGATCATTTCTACTTCAGACACACATACTTCTATTAAAATTTTTAAGAATCATTATTTCTTGTCTTTAACATACAATCAACATATAAGGCAACAGGAGTTATCCACAGTGATTACTCTGTAGAAATATGCATATATCAAACTTACCCAAAACAAACTTCAACCTACCCTTTTCATGCTGATATACAAATGGTGTGAAATGAACTCTGGCATACTCAATTGCTTGAGGAACACTGTGCGGCCCTTCACTAACTAAATTTATGTAAGCCAACCGATGTAACTTGAATTCCAGACTGCTATTCTGTAGATAAATAATCAGCAATTATCAACATTTTACAAAAGAATATACCTGGTGTTACATTAACTATGCAAAGACCAAGAATGCATTTAATTTCACTTCAAAGAATACCTGCCACAAAGATAATTATTATGAAAGAACACTTAATTGGCATAAATTAGGTTTCACATGCCGTATTTACCTGGGCCCTCAATTTCTCCCTGTTTTCTTCAGCCCACTGCAATGCTGGTTCAAGGTCTCTACTTTTAAGAGCTGCCAGAATACGATTAAGCTCAAAAAATGGTTCACGTGACTCTTCCTGTAGCTCCAAACCTGTTTCCTATGAGAACAAATAAAAATAATGATAAACACATACCCATTTACTTACAAACACACTTACATACATACATACACATATCCAAATGTGTATACATATGTATAAATATATGTATGTATGTATGTATACGTGTGTGAGGGGGGTGCATGTGCGCGTGCATAAATAAATAAATGTCAATAAGTAAGTAAGTAAATAAATAAGAAAATAAATGAGTGAGTAAGTAAGTAAATAAGTAAATAAATATATCTGTACTTATACATATCTGTACATTACACCACTTCCATGGCATGAAATAGCCCACTATCTCTATCAGCAAGAAATGGACTACTTAGCAACTTTAAACATCTCCCCTACATTTATGTAGAGTGGGGTAATAGGGAAATGTCAAGACATGTATGAGTGACAAACTTGGATCTATATTCTTTTTTTGGTTCACCCTCGGTGCCTCTCTCCTAATACCCTTAGCGATGTCAAAACGATGCTCATTCCCACAATGTGCAGTGAACAAAAGACGACAAGGAGAGAGAAAAGTACCGCCCTCTTTATCAGCAGCAAGGCTTATTCTTCCTTTCTTTTTTTCAGTAAGGATAGGATTAGCTCCTAATTTCTTTCCCAAAACATACAAGAGCCTACTTCAGGAGTCAGTGTACCACCCCTATGTTGTCTCTTAACTGCCACACCTCACAAATCTTTATATCACTCTTGTTAAGTTATCATGGGATGTATATGGCTTCACTGTCAATGGGTATTTGGGAGGAGGGCATCCAGTCCAAATTCAAAAAAGAAAAGCAAAATGGGAGGGGAGGTCTGAATCTATCATATAAACAACACTCAATCATACCTTTTAAGATATTGTCTCACTGTATACAAGTGGTGAGTAAATGAGTACAGTTGCCAAGAGGTCTTGGTGATTTTTTCAGTTCAGATACAGATATAAGACAATTTCAAGCCATACAAGTGTCAGCCAAACTCTAATGGAATATCTACATATACATGTATGTGTACATATGTATGCATGCATATATACATACATGCATACATAAATACATATATGCATATATTTATTATATATACATATATATATAAATATTCATATATATTTGTATATAAAAACATGTGAATGCAATAATGGTAGACCCTGATTTAAAACATACAAAGAAAAATTATATATATCATGAACAAATTATATAAAACAAAGCTAATAAAATTACCATCAATCTGGGATTACATATGCTAACATCTGCACTTACTCTTATATGTTCTTCTGCAATATCTAAAAGTCCTTCTCGGAAGAAATGTTGACAAATGACTTCATTAACTAATTGTTGTTTTTCTCCGCTGAACACTGAATCATTGCTTATACATCCAAAGTCAGCAGTGAAATTCTGAAAAAAAGTACATATTTATAAATTTTCACTTTAATGTATGATTATATCCCCAAACCTTCCTAAATTGTTAAAAAAGCAACTTACACATACATCTAAATGTAAACATTTAAACGAATATAAATAAATCGAGCACATATTTTCTTGTATCAATATCATTAATATATTGGTAATTGTTTGCAAAGTGTCCGCACCCGTCTTGAGACAAGTTCCTTATTACTCCAGCCGACAACCTTGTTGGGACTCTGAGAACCCACAAACTTCCCCATATGAACCAGAAACCTTCCTAACCCAAGGCTGAAGCCCCACAGACCCCACCATATTGCAATGGACTCAGTCTCTGCATGGAATTGTCAGGCCCTATTTTCTTCATTTCTGACATCCTTTGCTTCCACAGATTGTTTCATGTTATTAATAAGAATTTTTTTTTCTCCTCTGTGTGACAGTCTCTTAGATCTTCCATAACATATTGGAGTCATTATATAAATATGTAGACTACCTATATATATATCAGTTATGTACAAGCCCTTACATAAATAGAAATTCACAATAGAAAATGTGTTATGAATTTTTCTCAGGGAAGGCCTAAGGCCACAAACTAACCTTTAATGGCACAAAGCTACAGCAGATAACCATACTTTCCAATCAGCCACACAAAACCAGAGAGACAAACAACACAATTGTGTAGTTTTTTGCAAATCCCCTATTTTCATTTTTAGCACAATATTGGTACCTAATAAATATTACATGAAATATTCAAGACTTAACCATAAAATATGCTATGTATAAAAAAAAAATTGGGGTAGTGTTGGAAGGGATGCATGTGCATATCTGCATGTACATGTAAGTGTTTATTTCCATATATTACTAACCTTGTCAATGGCTTTGCCAACTTTTGATACAGAAGAATGCAGATCTCTGTGTTCTGTGCTGAGTCGTGTAACTGCTTCTTTTACACGACCAAGGGCCTGGCTCAGAATAACTGCTTGGGCTTCTGTGATATCACCATTATGAGCTGCAACAGAAAAATATTTTCTAAACCACCATATAACCACATTTCCAATATCACATTTTTTTTAAATACTCATGCACATGCTATGCACGCACGCACGCACGCACGCACGCACGCACGCACGCACGCACGCACGCACGCACGCACGCACGCACGCACAAAGAGAGATAGAGACAAAGAGACAGACAGACAGAGATAGAGATAGAGAAAGAGAAAGAGAAAGAGAAAGAGAGAAAGAGAGAGAGAGAGAGAGAGAGAGAGAGAGAGAGAGAGAGAGAGAGAGAGAGAGAGAGAGAGAGAAAGAGTGTAAGAGAGAGAGAGAGAGAGAGAGAGAGAGAGAGAAAGAGTGTAAGAGAGAGAAAGAGTGTAAGAGAGAGAAAGAGTGTGAGAAAGAGAAGGAGTGTGAGAAAGAGAAAGTGTGAGAAAGAGAAAAAGTGTGAGGCAGAAAGGAATAGGAGAAAAGAAAGAAAGAAAGAAAGAAAGAAAGAAAGAAAGAAAGAAAGAAAGAAAGAAAGAAAGAAAGAAAGAAGGAAAGAAAGAAAGAAAGAAAGAAAGAAAGAAAAAGAAAGAAACAGAGAAAGAAATAAAGAAAGAGAGAACTACATACATGTGGCTTTTCTCATTGGAATACATTTTGATATTTGGTGTCACAATCTGCAAATGAAGAAGTCTCAAGTGCTTACTGCAGCTTCTGCACTCATAATCCAGGTAGAAGATCAACTAACACCTAACACTTAACACCCTACAGAATGGTGGATCTTAAAATGAGGTGATGTAGATAAGAAAAACTAATGTGCTGAAGATGCAGACAGCACAGCAATATCAAGAATTACTCTCAAGAGTGATGCAGTCCTTGATTGGAAAATTTCAACATATTCTAAGAAGAGAGAGCTTACAATGATTCCTTACCTGACCAGAAATAGCCAGGATGAATACAACATATTGTAGAGATTAAATGTCACTATATTAATAGCACCTATCATCTGCTGCACAACTCACTAAAGATGAATCTCAAAACTTTGATGACATTATTGGTAGACAGTTGTTGTCAAATAATACAATCTTCATTTGGTTGTTATCAAATAATCAATTACTTTTCTATCCTTTACCTACTACTAAATGTCAAAGAAGAATAGAATCTTCAGGTTATCAATCTATCAATTCCATTTATTGTTTATTTTGTGAGTAATGTCTTCCAACTACAGGATATCTACCACATTACCTACCAGTACACTAACATATAATATATAACAGTGTCTTTTAATTACTGAGTATGAATGCTCCCCATTTAGCATTCATTTCCAAATATATGTATCTACTAAGTATAATATTTCACAATCAATAATTAAGGGAAATGGAGAAACACCAATAAGGCAAAATTTGTCATTTCACTATCAAAAAATAAAGAGAAGTGGGCAAAATATATACTAATGTCAACCGTTTTTCCTTCACACAAGAACAAAGACATTTAGATAACACGAAAAAAAAGTAAAAAATTCACACAAACCATACTAAATGAATAACCGAATAATACATTTATAGTATATTTCCAAATTTATAGTTTATTTATAGATTATTTATCATACCATAACCAAAAATAGAAGAAAAAAAATCCCATTATCCTTTCTTCGCCACAAAATGACGTACCAACAACCCCATCCCTACATTTCCCTCCATTTCCCTCATTTCCTATCAAAAAATCACCTTGATCAATCTCAATCCTCAGACTCTCAATATTTGTCCGCAGATGACTAATAGTACTCGACGCATGGTCACTGTAGGAGGTGAATTTCGACAAAACTTTATCAATTTCCCTCTCGACGGCAGAACACGCGTCCATCTTTGTTGTTGTTGTGCGGGAGTATAAGTGCCTGAATATCTCCGTCTCGTGAAGGGGATCGCGGGGCCAAAATAAGGATCCGAAACCTTTTATGTGTGTGGGATCCTCTGGCGTCTATGACTTTGGTGAAAATGAAGAGGATTATAGTGATAGTGATTATTATTGTTGTTGTTGATGTTATTATATTACTGTTTTTTTGCGGAATTATTATTATCGGAATTACTCTTGTTATTATTGCTTTGTTATTAATATTTAGTATTACATTATTATTATTATATTATCATTATTATTATTATTATTATTATTATTGTTATTATTATTATTATTATTATTATTACTATTATTATCATCATATGAATCTCCGTCTCTCGTGAAGGGGATCGCGGGGCCAAAATAAGGATCCGAAACCTCTTATATGTGTGGGATCCTCTGGAGTCTATGACTTTGGTGAAAATGAAGAGGATTACAGTGATAGTGATTACTATATAGAGGATTATAGTGATAGTGATTATTATATAGAAGATTATAGTGATATTGATTATTATTGTTGATAATGTTATTCTATTAGTTGTTTTTTTTTTTTTTTTGCTATTATTATTATCGGAATTACTCTTATTATGGTTTTATTATTATTAATCATTACATATTATTATCATATTATCATTATTATTATTATTATTATTATTATTATTATTATTATTATCATTATCATTATTGTTATTATTATTATTATTATTATTATTATTATTATTATTATTATTATTATTATTATTATTATCATTATTATTATCATTATCATTATTATTACTATAACTATTTGTAGTAGCAGTAGTAGTATTTCTATCATTATTGCCAACATCACCATCACCATAATCATCCCCACCATCACCAAGAACGTCATCACCATCACCATCTCCAGGAACGTCATCGCCATCATCATCACCATCACCATAATCATCGCCATCACCATTATCATCATCACCATCACCAACCCCTGAATCTATCATCCCCAGAATAGGCGTTTCCGAACCCCCTTATGCGATGCTCTTTTGTTTCCCTTTCCGTCGTCGTGTCACCTATTGTCCTCGGAGCAGACGATGGCCACAACAACAACAACAACAAAAAAACAAGAATAACAACAAAGGGAAAGCCATTAAGGAGTTTCTTCTCTTCAGAATTTGTTTT